CTACATTGGGTCATAAAATACAAAATAAGTTGTTTTTGCAGCCAGACAACACTCATTAGACAGTTGATGCTTGAATTCCATTAACTAACAGCTTTACTCCATCATACTCCATCTTAGGAGTATGCAAGAAGTCAGACTGATGGATTCTGTACAAACCATTGGGCAAATTTAGGAAGCATGTTAGAAAAGAGCAAGGAAAAAATTAGAAGAATTTGGGGTTGCCATCAGCTTTCTGATTGTATAACTGTTTGCATATGGTTATATATCTGCTGACATGAATAATTCTTCAGATAGCTCTCAAGAAATCCTTTTATATTCTATGGTTATTTCCTTAGTAATCTGGCAAGGGACACTTGCAGTTTCTGGAAAATTAAATTCATTTGCCATGAAATTGGCAACTTTGGGTACTAGAGACTTTGATAAATAGCCTGGAGTAGAAAAAGCAAGAAAGGGTAAGACCTCAAAGTGTCACTTCTGAAACGATCTGGTTTCACTTTTCATTTTACAAGTGACCCCCTTTCGTTTTTACAATGAGGTTTAAAATAGGTGGTCTTCAAGCTAAATCGAATAATTCCGTACTCAATTCACATGGTTTTTTTGTTTGTTTGTTTGTTTTTTCCCCCATTTATTCAATGCCTTGAAGTGGAAAGTAGATTATTCAGTCAGCTCCAAAGGGTGTTCATTTGAGAAGCCAGAACAGGGAACTGAGGTGACAGAGCAAGGCGCAGTGGAGGGATTGATAAGCTAAGCAGTAGCTGTTGGTTGACAGAGATTGTTTTTGTTAAGGGAAGGGTTGGAAATATCTCCTATCCATTTCTATCCCTTGTTTGTTAAAGGAAGATGAATTTCACAGTGGCATTCTCAAATGATTAAAGGTCGATATGAGGGCTGCTCTGAAAGTAATGCCCCCTATTTTATTATGTTGGCCCACAACATCAGGAGGTGGATGTTGGTGGTGTGGCAGCAGGGGTTGAACCTTCCCACCAACATTCCATCACATTTTACTGCTGTGCGACAGATGGCAGCAGAAGGGCAAACTGAGAAAATGGCATCTAACATGGAAGTGTGAATGAAGCAAAGGTGTGTCACTGAATTCCTCCACGCAGAAAAAATGGCACCCACTGACATTCTTCAATACTTGCTGAATGTTTATGGAGACCAAGCAGTGGATGTGAGCACAGCGAGGTGGTGGGTTGCACGTTTCAGCAGTGGTGACAGTGACATGAAAGACAAGCCACGTTCTGGATGGCTACGCAGATTTTTATGAGCATGGCATGCTGGCTCTTATTCATTGCTGGTGAAAATGCGTAGTTCATGGTGGTCACTGTTGAAAAGCACTGTTTCGTAGTTGCAAATTTGCTCTATCAAGCAGTGTTTTTGTGCTCTTTGTATCTGTTGTCATTTCCAAGGAAATAAATAGGAGACATTACTTTCAGAGCGACCTGTGTACAACAGCCCTTTCTCTCCTTCCAAGTTACCTTTAGAATCATGATCCTGTTTTCTAACAATATGCTTTTTTCCCTTTCAATAAGGTAACATTTTCTCCATGTGGGGAAATGTCTGGAAGACTAAACAGGTGCCTTAAGAAAACTCCGCTCAAATTCCAAGTGGGCTATCTGGTAACTTCATAGATTGCATATGAGCAATAAAAGAGTACAGAAGTTCGCCCGCTGCTCCATCTAGTGCTTGTATCTTATAGGATCATGAAGTATCTTTTACTTTCGAATGCTCATATCCTGGGAGAGGCATGAATGTGCTGAGAAGCAGCTTAGCTGGTGGGGAGCACTTCTAGTCCTCTGGCTTCCTAGCTCATGAGCTGTTGGTTAGAAAGCCTTCTCTGGTCTCACTTTTGCTTGCCAGCCCACTATAGAGAACAAGAGTTCCTAAAGGAAGACTGAACTGCCTTTACAGAGGAGAGGGGTGATTTTCCAGGATCTCTCAGGGAATAGGGAGAACACGAGTCTTATCAGTCACTAGTGTCATGGTGATAAAAGCTCAGAGCTTCTATCAAGAATTCTGGGTGCAGTTTAATGAATTTGGTGTTGAATATGACAGTCACTAAAATAGCTGATTTCTATCTGGTACGTATGAAATCAGGGGATAATTAAGTCTCTTGGCCATATAATTGAAAGGACATAATATAGAGAAGAGGGAACATCACATAAGTTAGAAAGATGAGAAAAACATATTTTCAGACAATGTCCACCCTAGTAGTTTGAACAGTGGCCAGGAAGGTTTCCAAATATAAACTAAACTGTCCAAACAATCTCCAGCAGTTTTTACATTTCCCAATTAGTGCTTTCCAAGGCAGCTCCAAGTTATAATTCAGAAGATATTATGATCGAGGACCATTCCTGTGTTCAGATACAGACATTTTTTAGTGATGATAGAATTTGATAGGATGGTTATTGACGTTCCATGCCATCTGGCTCAGGCATGTTTGATTTTCCAGCATAGATGAAGTCACAACATAACACTGTGCTACTGAGAATTTGGATCCTTTGCAGTTCCAGCCTGGGAGCCTTGTCTCTGTAACTTCAACTATTCATGTCTCCAGTTCTAAGCATCCAGTGAGTGTATAACCAAGATGTTATAATTGCAATATAATCAAAAGAGTAAGGCAAAAGCAAACAAGGATCACAAAAGAGAATAAGTAGAAGAGCTTACCCTTGGGTTGAGCTCACTAGAAGATACCAAAAGAGGAGGATCTCCAGAAGAGAGCCTTCCCCTCTGGTAGCCAGCTCTTAAATAGGTCCAGGAGGGCTGCAGCCTGGCTCCACCCCTTCCGGCAGCACAGCTGAATTGCCTTCACCTGTGCTCCTCTGGCTGACTCAAGGCTCACCTCAGGTGATCAATCAGAGGTTCAGGCCGTGACTCAGCAGTTCCCATACAAGTGAGTGTAACAGGAAAGGTAACAACCACATGAGAGGACAACATCAGAAGGAAATTTTTAGTTCCTCGCAGGACTTTCTACATTTTGTAGATCTGCAGCTGGTTCTCATACATTTGGTTTTTAAGCACAACTGTAGTCTAAGCAGCTCTTAGAGATGCCGCTGCCAATAATCATCATTCCATATCATAGCTGGCTTATATTTATTTACGTCCATCCCGAATATAAATAGGCTCAAAGTAACGGAAGCAGTCCTATCAGCATACTGGAGTGGTTGGGCACTACATGCTGCCACAGCGCACTAAAAACTTCCATTATCTGGAGCAGAAAAAACTTTCCCTGGGCTGTCTTTGTAAATCTCTTCTCTGTGTTTGTTTACCTCCTTCATTGTCTTTCTCTCACTATCCTCTCTAAAACAAAAACACTTTATACAGTAAAACTGCCAGAGAAGCAAGAAAGCAAAATATCAGTGAAGTGGGAAAGCGCTGTAGAAAGCAAGCGTATTCTGCTGTTCATTGATCTGTCAGGTCTCTATTTCAGAACAAACCACTGCACAGCATAAAACCCCAGCAGAAACATTAGCGGGGTGGCTGGGAGTGAGGGCATTCAGGGGTTACACAGCTGGGAAGGGTGTTTGTACCCTGCTCCATCCTCACACCCCGAGATAGCTTCTATCAGCTTGTTTGGGAACACATCTCCCCAGCGAGCTGCCTCGTGGTGAGAGGGGCTGGGACCAGAGCCTCTGGAGTTATCTGGAGGGAGGGCTCCATTAATATCCCTGACAAGATCTCTTTATCCCATGCCTTCCTAATCTGCAAGACAACAGGAAAAGAGGGGGAATTCACCGAGCAAAATGGAGTCCCTGCTGGGTGTGATTGTTGCCATTTCTTCTTTGTAAAAGTTGTGTCTTTGTTTTATCAAATGGTTTGGTTTTTCAAAAGGAGAAGGAGGGAAATATTTTTGTTATTCCCACTCTGGGACGGGTTGTGCAGCAGAGGCTTCTCTGCAAAAGCATTCCATTTCCCACCCTCTCTCCTCCTGAGTCCAGCTCTCTGCTGTGCCCTCTGCCCCCAGACTCCCCCTCGTGCGGTGCGACCTGAGATCTTCTGCCGGTTGGGATTTCTTCAGTAGTGGCTTATGCAATCACTCACATCTCTTCTCAGTACTCGCCGGCTCTGTGCTGGGAAGAGAAATGATGGTTTCTCTTGATGTACTGCCTGAAATCAGAAGTTACTGCTCCTCAAAGGGAAACCAGCCCTTCTGACAGCACTTGAGAAGCAGCCAAGTTATTTTGAAATGTCAAATTAATGTAGGAAAACAAAGCGAGGTTGGAGGGCCCCGGTTCTGATTTTTTGTTTTAGATCCCTCTGTACCCCGCAGCACCACAGCCAGTAATTAAACGCGATGTTCTGTATGTGCAGGAGGTCAGATGACATTGTTTAATGGCCCTTCCCAGCACGGAAGGCTTCCTGAATTCGTGCCAAAGCATCGCCGCAGATAGCTGAGTTTTACCCCCACCATGTAATAACTCTGCTTGGCCTTAGGTACATTTAAAGAGGCAGACAGCTAAAGCACAGCTTGGGTAAAGCTTTAAGGACAGATTTGGGTTTCATCATTCCAGGTGGTATTGAAATGCACACGGAGCAAATTAGGGAAGAGTGCAGCTCCACGGGGCACAGCTGTAAGCGTGCTGCGCTGCAGCACTCGGCTCCTCGGGCTGCTTGCAGAGCAAGATGCACGCCGAGTTCACGCACGGCTCGGTCAGAGATCTCACTTCTTGCCATCCCCATCCTGGGAGAATGTAGAGAAATGCAGAGCAGCAAGGGCGAGATGGAGACTGCCCGCAGGCTGGAGAGAAAAGAGAGCTGGGTCAAACAGGAAGAACGCCGGAGGGACAGAGGAGCCGAACGAGGAATGCAAGGGAAACGAGAGAGAGACAAAAGCTGCCCCGAGGCAGCGCCGAGCTGGGCCGCAGCGGGGCGGCAGCGAGCAGGGGCTGGCGGCCTGAGAGCGGGAGCGGGGCGCGGCGGGGAGCTGCGCGGGACAGGGTGACACCTGCTGGGCGTGGGGGCGGCAGGGCCGGGCGTGGAGCCTGAAAGGAGGCCTCGTGGCGGCTCCTCACGGGGAGCGGAGGGGAAGCGCTGAGCTCTGCTCTCTGTGGCTGCGACAGGGCCCGAGGGAGCGGCGTGGTGATTTAAAAGCAGGCACGGTGCTCCTCGCTTGTGTCTGCGCCCGCCGAGAGCCATGCTGTTGTCAGGTCGTGCCAGCGTTGGAGTATTCGCTGGAGCAGGCACAACATCCCGTTCCTCTGGGTGCAGGCAGAACAGCGGGCAGCTCCTTTGCTCGGAGACATAGCTATGTTCTCCCTGCTTTGCTGCTGTGCATTAAGGAGTGAGTCCAGCATCCACTGAAGGCAGTGGGAAGACATGGATGCCTTTCAATAGGAGTTAGATTAGTTTTCAGGTAAATACACAACTCAGTAAGGCAAACTTTAACTGCTTTTCATGTTAGTAAAGCAAATGTTACCAGCAGAGAGATTTGAACTCTGTTGTAAAGCGACACCTTCAGAAGCTCTCCTGTTTACTGTTGCTTTTCTCAGGCCATCCTTGCTGATGTGGGAGAGCAGTGTGTCTGACCCAGCTGAGCCAGGTAGGAGCCCACAGGTGGTCATGGTGCAGAAAGGCACCTTGCCTGCTGCTCTGCTTCTCTCTCTGTGTCACGAGGCCTTTTGTGCTGCAGGGAGCTAAAATCCTTATCTGGGAAATAGTGGAAGAAAGGACGTTGGGTGAGGACAGAGACCTGTTTGTCCCATCCTTCTGAAACCACAGGAAGGCTTTGGGCAACTACTGGTGCTTCGGTGTCCTTACCTTCCTTTAAAAGGAGGCTCATCAGCTCAGTACAACAGTCTGTGTAGATGTATGCGCACACAGACACGTGTTTTCATTCTATTCCTTAACTTGAAGTATCTGAGAGAAAATTCAGTGAACAACGTTGGTTAACTGTATGCTGAAAACACATCCTCAATCTGCTGCTTCCCCTGTCTGTCAGACTGTTGGATAACTTCAAGCCAACTGACCAAAGTTCTTATTTTTCCTAAATTTGTTACTCTTCAGTATTTTTATAGTTCTTTCCAGGCAACACAGGGTAATTGTCAGTATTGCTTTTCTGTTTGCTGCTGTGTCCCATCTTTTTCTTAAAAACCAACAACATGGCCAAACCTGAAGCATTGGTCTCTTCCTGATGAGCTTACTCACTCAGCTGCTCAGGTGCGATCCCAGCTGCCTGAGTAATGAGATGAGATCTTGTTCCTACCTTTAATGTTTCAGCACAAGCATTGTTTATTAATTTATTTAGTTTCCTGGGAGTAATGGGGAGAACCACAATGAGGCTGTACAAATAAAGGCTAAGTTTTTCTCTTTTCTGTAGTGCCTGGTGAAGAGAGCAATGGTCCTGTACTGCAACTGAATTTCCTTGGCTTGGAAGGCAGAAAGGAAGAATGCTTCATCAGGAGCTGGAGGTAAAGAATTAAAAAAGCCAGCACAGGAGGTGGGAGTGAGTGTGGTATGGAAGTAAGGATTAGGCATATTTAGGGATGAACCAGAAGGGGATGGTAGGGCTGGTAAGAGGCAAAGCACAAATGCAACCATTGCTGTTACACTGATTTTGGAAGAGCTGGATATGTGTAAGAGGTAGGGAATGGAAGATTGCAAATTTATAGCTCTGTTATGGAAACAGTCCTATCCTTCCCATGGAGACTGATCACATTCTTCCTGTCCTCACCTGTGCTTTTATATCTCAGCCAATTAGTTGTTTTCTTCACTGCAGTTTCAGTATTAGTCCTTGCTCTGTATTCACAGATGTTCCTGTGGCCTGTTGTTGCCTTAATGTCTGAAGCTTTCACATCTCTGCCTGCACAGTAAGTTAAAACTCTTTGTTCTTATGTTTAGGTCTCCACTGTGTTTTACTACCCCAAATCTTGTAGCTGTTCAGGCTTTTGTTCTTCCTTGCACACTCCTCCTTTTGTGCCTTTCCAAACTCCTGTTCTCTGCTCTAGAGTTAAGTGTAATAGAACCGTGTTCATACGTATGTAATCCAACTAAGAGACTGGCAGGTCACTAATTTGCCTCTTCCTTTTCTTATTTGTTTTGTTTCCTTCAACTAGTGTGTAAAAACGTGAAATTAGAGTTTTCCATGGTGAAATAGGTAACCACAGCTCAGGATAAATCATCTTCTTAAGCCCCGAGATAAAAAGCAGCAGGGAGCAGAGAGGTTCCTTCTTTGCAGAGTGGCTTAAATCCAGATTGTTTCATTGATACAGTTGTAAGTTATATCAGACTCAATGGTAAAGTCCTCAGTGTAATAATTTGTGGTTTCTTCTGCAGTTATTTCCTGCAGCAGTACATTTATCTCACCATGTAAAGGTGATGACTGAGGGGCATCTGTGCTTTCTTGACTTTGAAAACTTGGGCAGTCCTCAGTCTGTTTACCTGTAGTTTGGTGGGCTGTTGCTGGATAAAATGCAATGTGGTGTGGTCTCCTGTTTAGCTCCTTTTCCCTAACCTAAAACAAAACAGAAAAACCCCAGTGCTGTGTAAAGAGGGATGGAAGTAGGAAGAAGATTCATTGATCATATGCAGCATTTCTGTCTATCTTTGTACCCAAATGCAATCACAACATCACTCCAGTTTAGCACTGAACTTAGCCAATTTACTCTTGTCTGCATAGAATATGCATTTTTTTTTTTTTAATTGCAGGAAAAACTGCTTTAGAAGCTTCCCCTCCTCTGCATATTTTTAGGATAATCTTTCAGGCTTTCAGCAAAATTAAACTATTAACTTGGCCTTTCAAAATCCATGAGAGGAATACGGGATCCACTTGCTGCCATTGAATGCATTTTGGTAGCAGCCTGCACACAAACTCTCTGCTTTAGGTCAGTTTGTAAAAAGCAGAGGATTTCATGTGGTAAAGCAAATGCTGAAGAATACACAACAGAATCAGATGACCTCTTTTTTTTTTTTTCCTTTCTCTTCAGCAGCCTTCATGTCCTTTGCTGTAAAAATCATTCACTTCCTTGTTTCCAAACCACATTTTTTCCAGCCTAGCTGGTGGTTTCTTCAGCATCTTTTCCAGGGCATCTCTCTGTAGAGACATTAAAATATTTCAGCAGAGTCTATTTTGATGTTGGGTTGACATTTTGCTGCTTGCCTTCTGCTTTTTTTTTTTTTTTTTCTTTTTCTTTCCATGCATAGAAGTGATAGACTCAGGTACCAAAGGAAGCCTGTAAATAGCAATGTGGTAATAACCTGAGTGTTCACTTGCTCAGGAGTGCTGTTGCAATGAGAGTTCCCATTTTCTGGTAAGTGATGTGAAGCTTCTAATGTTGCTGTGAAGCTTCTAATGTTGCTGTGTACCCAGTTGATGTGGGAATTCAGTAAAGGAAGCTACTTTACTACTGCTGAAGAAATTTAAGGATGGTTTTGTTAAAGCTTCATAATCACATTACTGCTGGCCTCTGTTGCATGCAAATGAGCAGCCCAGTCCTAGATCTCTATTCCTGGAAAGATGCAGTGATTATCTGAGCAGCCAGGAGGATGAAGTCTACTATAAGCAGCTTTAACGGTGTTGAAGTCAAACCAGGGACCTCTGGTTGCTGAAATACACACTGTCCTGTTTATAAATCTCCTGGGATATCTGCTTGCCATACTTTTGCAGCCTTAAATAATTCTGTAAGTCAGACCTCACTGCCAGAAGTGTTAAGTGCTGCAAATAGTATAGAGGGTGACTCATTTAGTGAGATGAAGGTGGAGCATGAATCAGTAGGAAGAAAACCAGTATTCAGAGGGGATGTTCTGAATGCAGGTGACATACAAGAAATCTGCACAACGTTCAATCATTGTAAAAATGAAACAACTGTTATTTTTCCAAAAGGGAAAAAAAACCCAAAAAACAAACAACTCTTCTTTCTAATGACAAAGGACTTTCTAACAGAACCCTAATGTGGGAATGTATTGCATGCTGAGATTGTCCTTCCTCACCAAAGATAAACTGTGGGTTACATTGGAAGAGGCAAATTGAATTCTTCCCTATGCGTCTGCGCTGAGTGGGTGCTCAGCAACAATGTTGCTTTCCAGGCAGTTAAGTGATCCTGTACGCTGAGAAAATAATTTTCTTTGAATTAAACAGCTGTGAGGGATCAGGAGTCCTCATAGGTTCAAGGACTCATAGAATCACAGAATGATTTGGGTTGGAAGGGACCTCAAGGATCATCCAACTCCAGCACCCCTGCCTGTGGTAGGGCTGCCAACCTCCACACTCAATACCAAACCAGGCTGCCCAGAGCCCCATCCAACCTGGCCTTGAACACCTCCAGGGACGGGGCATCCACAGCCTCTCTGGGCAGCTGTTCCAGCACCTCACCACTCTCTTGGTAAAGAACTTTCCCCTGATATCCAACCTAAATCTTCCCTCCTTCAACTTAAAACCATTTCCCCTTGTCCTGCAGTTATCTACCCTTTCAAAGAATTGATTCCCCTCCTGTTTGTAGGCTTCCTTTAGGTACTGGAAGGCTGCAATGAGGTCATCCTGCAGCCTTCTTTTCTCCAGGCTGAACAAGCCCAGCTCCCTCAACCTGTTTCCAGAGGGAAGGTGCTCCAGCCCCTTGATCATCTTTGTGGCTCTCCTCTGGACACTCTCCAACAGATCCCTCTCTTTCTTGTATTGGAGGCCCTAGACCTGGACACAGTACTGCAGATGGTGCTTCACAAGAGCAGAGTAGAGGGGGACAATTGCCTCCCTGTCCCTGCTGGCCACCCCTCTTCTGATGGAGACCAGGATACCATTTGCTTTCTGAGCTGCTCACTGTTGGTGCACATTCAGTTTTTCATCCACCAGGATCCCCAGGTCCTTCTCTGCAGGGCTGTTCTCAAGGGTTGCTCCTCCCAGTCTGTGTTCCTGGGGTTCCTCCCAAGTGCAAAATCTTGCACTTTGTCCTCCTTGCTCCTTTTCTTATAACTGGGAGTGATGTGACCCTTCTTCCAGTCACCTGGGACCTCACCTGACAGCCAAGGCTTATCAAATATGATGGAGAGTGGCTTGGCAACCACCTCAGTCAGCTTCTTCAAAACCCTGGGAACCCATAGTGAAAGCTAACTGCAATGGAAAAGCTAAAATAATTACCTATGCATATCTTCTATAAATGGGAACTCATAAGTAGATCAAATTCCCATAGGCAGTTCCATTTGAGACAATATATTTGGATCCTTCTGGTTACCCTCTAGCTCACACACATGAGAGTGTTTCTAAAGGTAGACTTGGAAAAAAGGTACTTGATAGATGATATGCTACAATTAGCCACTAATGAACTAAAGAAAAGCTTAATGTAACTCGGCAGTGGTGAGGATGAAAATCTGTCACATTGGACTTCAGCTAAAATATTTTCAAGTGCTGGAAGAAAAATAGTCGTTACTTCTTAAAAAAAAACAGGAAACAAAAAAGCCTAAATGCCAAAACACAATCACACAAAGAAATTTTGATATCTGCCATTTAGGTGGAAGTCCTGGCTCTGCTGAAATTTTTGGCAGCAGTCACTGTTAAAGTTACAGAGGGTAGTTTATCTTGTTGTGTGAGCAGCTCTTCCTGGCTCTGTTAGACTAGCCCCCCAGAATGTTGCTCTCAGAAGTACTCACCCCTTAGAGCAGTAATGCTTAGAAACAAGCATCTTAACCTTTACTGCTCAGAATTCGTTTGGTTCAGGATAAAATGAAGGACAAGTCAAAGGACTGAAGGCTTCTAGTGCAGTGGTTTCAGAGTTTTGGCAATGGTAGGAAATCCTGAGAGGACAAGTAATGCTACAAAGCTTAAGAGATGCAGATACTTACATGGAGTAAAATTACACACAGGAAAGGAGAGCTCCCACAAGGATATCTCAGTCTCCAATATTACTGTAAAAATAACCCCAAACCTGGTTATACTAGTCTTTCATAGTGCTATGAAAAGCTCAGCACTACGAAAACTCTTTTCCTTGTCACACCTAGTGCTGGACTGAAATTCACTACAAAGCCATTTGTCCTTACGTGTGGTCAATTCCAAAATTTCAGGTGTGATTTACCCGTGTGTTAATGCTCACAATCCAGCACCATGTGTTGTAATTTGGAATGCGTTAAGGTAATAACCCTTTCCTACTGTCTGTATTCAGTGCATTTAGACCCTCCGTTCATTGATAATTTAGCTCTAGTGTAATAAATTATTCTTACAGGAGGCAGCACAGGCCAATTTTTTGATGGCTACTAAGGGAGAGCTAGCAGCTAGTGGCAGATTTATGTTTTCAGTTGTAGGTTGCCCAGCAGTGGGCCCAGCTCAAATGTGAAATATCACTTGGAAAATCTGGCTTTTTTGGTGAAAAGTTCAAGGCTCGCTTTTTTAAAAGCTGTATTGATATATGTACATTAATTCATTTTTTAATACCGTTGAGGGGGAAAAAACACCAACATCATAGGACTCTGCTTCTGTAAGGAGGTGGTATAGAGAAATTCCCTAAGGAGAAGTAGCTCAAACTGAGCTTCTGTCAGTGAAAGAGTATGTGCCATTTAATAGCAGAGAGCTTTTTAATACAGGAGGGAAAAAAAGAACAGATGCTCACCTGTTTTATGAAGGGGAAAAATACAAAAACCTGCCTGCAGGATGTTAACTAAATCTAGCCACAGAGGGAATATTCCTCTCAGATACTCCAAAAAATAAAAAATAAAATAAAAAATAAAGCAAAGTAAGTAAAGGCTACGGAGGAGCTGCACTCAGATATTTTTCAGTCCCTATTTCCAAAATACAGTAGGAAGTGTATTGTGCTGCACACTAGCCAGACTGTTACGTGAGACTTGTTCAGTGCCTTTTATGAAAGTTTCCACGTTACCTTGATGTAAGTGGTCAAGGTTAGAGATGAGTAAATGCCTCAAACTTCAAAGCTACTCAGAATCATCCTTGGTCTGAGCTTGAATTGTCTGTGTCCAGTCAGTCCAAGGATTGTGCTTTGGATGCAGCCACAAATGGTGTTAAACTTCTTACAATCTCCTTATGGATTTTCTCCCTCCCACCATCTGTACTTGAAGCCCTATCTGTAAAAAGCAACTGATCCTTAGCACAATGCTGAACAACAAAGAACGAGCTTGAGTTCAGAAGCCAAAATAAGCCTCAGGTTATTATTCAGAATGAAAAGAAAATGGACACTTGTTTCTTAATCCAATACTTGTTCTATAAAATTATTTTTAAAAAATCAAAACAACAAGATAACTAGACAAAAAAGCTCACAACATTTTTCTAATGGTTTTTCAGTCTGAGATCAAATGCAAATGTAATTATTAGTAATTATTAGTGATGTTTCTCATAGTTTTGTTTGAGAAACAAGTTTATGGCATGTACTCTCCAGTGAGTTGTTCAAAGAACTAGTCTCTTAATACCACCCCTTTCTCTTCTGTACCCATTTGAAACAAGCCTGGAAGCTGCAAACAACTGAATGAATACTACTGCCAGCTTGTTTTATTAGCATCCTCATTATACAGTTTTATGTTCAACATCTTGCCTCTAAAATCGTAGAGAAGGTTTGTCTGGATGCTGCGCGTGTAGAGAAATCGACTCTCATGGAGCTCACAAAAGAGTCAGAACTCCGTAGCAGAGATCTTGTGTTGTGTAATGATGCTCACCTTGTTTTCGTGTGCTTCTCCAGTCCTGGCAGCAGTACTTTGGCTCCCGATTATTCCCTGCATCCTCAACTCCTCAAGAATGTCTGATGATTTTTGTCTCTCTGTTTCTTGTAAGGGCCGTGATTTGCTGATGAACCCACTGGTGAGCAGTGCATCTTGAAAAGATGAAAACATCAAAGCACTTAAATCATGAAGTTTTGTTTGAACGCCGTCTTCAAGGTGAGCTTTTAATTGAAGAGATTGCATTCCGAGAACATGTTGTTGAGAAGGCCTGCTTGAGGCTCTCTTTATGACTTAAATGCTGCAGTAAGCTTTCTAATGTCTGGAAAACTGGAGTTCAGTTTCCCAGTATGGCCAGTTATACCCAGAGGGCCAAATGCCTGGAAGCAGGTGCTGAAGGTTTGTGAAGACAATACGTTCCCCAAGAGAGGCTATGGACAGCTGTTTACAGTTCAAGTTCTTAAGCATTGTGTGAGCTGGTTAGAGAGGACCCATTAATAGGCTTGTATTATCCCATCTTACATTGGCTGTCTTGTATAAATCACTGTGCTCTTCTGTTAGATGAATGCAAATTTTCATATGCTTTCATGGCTTATGATTTTTGTTACAACAGTGCTGCTACATTTAAGCATTATCACATGCATTCCAACACTTAATCGTGTACTTATAAACAACAGTTAAGAATAATTCCAAATTATTTTGATAACCCTTCTGAGGGGCTGTTTAGTTTCCACTTATTAGACATGATTAAGCAACGAGTTTGCCAAGACCTATCAGGTATTTCAACCCTCAGCTGACAGTTATCCCATCTGCCCAGTCCCTACTGGCAGAAAATAGAGCTTTTGTATGAAGAATACTTGGACCAAGTCAAAATCACAGTTACTTGATATCTGCCCATCTTTTTAAGCAAAGTGGCTATGGCAGTGTTGGCTTTTCTTTAATTTCTGGTTGTAAAACACAAATACAAAACATCTACCATCTTGTAGAAGTTGACTCCCTCTCTCTCCTAAAATAACTGAATCAGTCACCCAAAAGGCACCAAGGCTCAGATGTCTGCCAGTGCATGTAAATACCAGAAGGCTGTATATGCTAAAACATCCTTTGGCAAATAATAATAATAATAATATTAAAAAGCATGATAAATGGACAATTTTGATTAGCAATGTCCATTTGTATGAGTTTCACTAATGCATTCATTCAGGAGAAAAAAAGAAGCTACACTATCTCTTTTTTGTTTCTTGAAACAGAAGCTTGAAGGACGATTTCAAAAATTCTGTTTAGAAATTTCCTGTGAAGTTGTCTTTTTAGCAAGGACAAAGGAAAGGAACTCAGCTTAATGAACTTAAATGAAACACTTAATTTCAGAGCAAGCAAATCATTTTGATCAATCTGAAATGAAATCCTTTCATCACATCCTTCTGTGGCGTTGGGAGTTAAGTCTTCTTTAATGAATAGCAAACATCAGTAATTACTCCTTTTGTGTTCAATTTGGAATATGTTATTGGAGCCCTTCTATATAAGAAAGAGTAAATAGCCACTTTAGATTTTCTGTTCAGTGTTTTGTGAAATATAAGCTGTTCATAGCACTTGAAAAGTAAACTACAAAACTTCGTTATTCACCGAAGACAGTACTACTTTTCCATCAACATCTCTTACATCAGTATCCTAAGAATACACGAGAGTTTCAACTCAGACTTTCCCTTGCATTAAGAAATTTAGAAAAAGTTCTTAGCAGATCTCTGCGTTGTGCTGTGATAACTTTGGGAAATTCTGTTGTTTTCTTTATATGATAACTTGCCCTGAAACTTTTTGCTGCAGTCTTAAGTAATGGCGTGGCATTTACTCGCTGTCTGCACTTGATGCTAGTTAAGAGAATTGTGTTTGCCGTCCTGTCTGGGGGGGGGGAAGAAAAAAGAAGGAAAGCTTGACTTGATAGCATCAGGCTGAGAGCACTACCGTGGGCAATGTGTGTTCCCAGTGTGCCGTGCCATAATCTCTGTTAGCAAGTGCTACCTCTGGAGACAACAAGGCTGAGTATGTTCTCCTGGTCTGTTCCCAGCGTCTGCCAAGAAAAGTATATACCCTTCTGCCTGTTCTGGTAGCGAGAGCTGAGTCATGCTGCAGAACATAACAAGTGGTTAGGAAATACTTCCCACTACTATTGCAAGGCTTCAAACCAGTGTGAAGAGCTCGGTCCTTGTGGTGTCACAGCAGTGACTTTACTGTGAATTGAAGAGGGCTGGCAATAGGCTCAAGATGGTTCATTTCTAGGTCTCTCTCTCTGGAGCTGATATGACCTTAAACTACTGTTCACCTGTGCTTTGTGCGTTGCTTCTTTTTTCTGACGGTGTAAATCTTTCTGTTGATTTCTCATGAAAGCCTCCCTCGCTGGCTTCAACTTCAAGTTTGCTTCCATTCTCTGAAGTGTCCCCTGTCCAAGCTGCCCCTTCGTGTGAGGTGGCAGCCCATGTTTTGTCAGCACTGTCACTTGTAGTCTGCAAGAAAATGAAGAAAGGAATGAGAGAAGTCCTTGAGGACTCCTGAATGTGTAAGGAGAAAGCAGTCTCTAGAATAGTCTTGTAGGCTTGACACATTCAGAGTAAAGTGGAATATAGTGACATTCCTGATACTTATCTGTGCTTTGTCACAGATTGATTGATGTTCATGGTGATGAAAGGTCTCATATAATTTCAGAAAGGAAGGGATGACCTTAATCTTGAATATGTCCATAATCCCATTGCCTGTACTGCTGTATTGGTTTAGTACTTCTAAGTGCTATCTGTACGTTGGACATTGGTTAGAAATTTCAACTCCAAGAGTTTTTAGAATAAGTACATGGTAAGGTTTTAAACTCTCTAAGTGAGAGCTTTGCATTTGCAAACAGTGCAGGAGTAGAGACTGGATATATTCTCGTGACTGAGTTGGGGTTCAGCCACTTCAATTGTGCAAACCTCACAAAATGGCTCTGCGCATGTTTCACGTAATATTTGGATGTATACAAGTTCTCTGCCTGAAAATAATTTTTTGAGGCAATATGTACCCTGCTGAAGTGCTGCAAAATGATGCAGACTGTGAGAGGCAAATTTTCAGCTGCTGTAAAATCAGGTCATGCACGTGGCCAAATGGTGAGTCTCATTCCCCTCTGGCTTAAGACTCATATGAAGCTAAGAGATAACACTGTTCATAAAGAGCTCCCTGACAGACTCTGAGATACAGCAGAACTGCTTCTCTCTATACATATATCCTTGTACACTCCCGTGCTAAGACATCTCATAACATACTCTGTACAGAGACTGTTTGGAAGAAATTGCTACCTGGATTCTGGCTTCATGGTTGTTCTGTAGCTCCTCAGAAGACAGCTGTGCTGCAGCAACCCTTTTAGATGTATTGCAGCCCATGATGAAATGAGGACCATCTGCTGCTCCCTGTTGCAAGTCCAAGCAGTGGAAATGCCCTCATCTCATCACTGGGAGTTTGGTTATTCATGATCACCATGGCATCAAACTGTTGCCCACGCCTGTTGCTACAATAAATAGCACCACAGAAGGCTTTCATGTTGTGTCCTGGCGTGCAGACCTCATTGTCTTTGACCAGGCTCCCTCATCTGAAGCTGAGAGGGAATGTGCTTCTTCTCAGCTAGCTGGAGATGTTGGTCACTGAGGGGGTCAGTGAACCTCCCGAGGGAACTGAACTGAAGACATTTGAGTGTCTCCAGCTTCTTATCTTTTTTTTTTCTTTAGGAATAACATACTATCAGATAAAGTAAAATATACATTATCAGTCTCTGGTCAGATTTCTTAAGTATTTCTCATCTCCGTTAGAAATTGGGGAAAAAAATAACTCCCAATTTTAGCATTTCAAACAGCTTGGCAAATTTTTAAATGAGAGGAGATGTAGTCAGGAAACAGGCTGGCTGTGGTTAAGGAAAATGTTTTAAATGTCCTCTGAAATCATTGTATAATTTCTTGATTACTGTTTGCATCTGCTCGCATCCTTTGAGATAGATGTTTGTAGGAGATGGATGGGGGAAGAACCCAACACCACAGTTTGTGCTTCCAAGAAGATTTTGTAAAAGCTGTCGGAGAAATAGGAACAGAGTGCTGCCAGTTGAAGATCATAGCTGATCGTGTCTCGGGTTACTTTAGCTGAGATCAACAAGTATTGAAGTTGGAAGAAATAATTATTTTTACAAATAATGAAAGAAGCAGGCATTTTGCATAAAATCGAAGTGCTCAAAATACCTTATGCCAGTGAGACGGTATTTTTGTTGTGTCCTGAGATGCTGGTAACAAATCAGTGTCAGCTTGTGACCTTACTCTGGTTCGTACTGGAAAACCAACTGTAAAACTTGCCATTTTTTTCCATGTATGTGAAACTGAGATGTTTACATGACAAATGAGCCCTTCAAGTGGTAAGGTTGATGAGCTTTCAGAATCAAACAAACCCCAGCACTGAGAGAAGGACTCCAGCCTGGGAGATCATTCTGGAGGCACGGTTGCAGGCAGCCCTCTGTGTTTCTCTTGTCTGCAGTCCAAACGAGTCAGCTGGGGTGGCTGGAAAGCCACAAACTCTTTTACGTGGCAATGAGCCTGAAGTAATCTTCTCTGCCTCAGCATGCCTTATTCTATTGTGCAAAGCACTGCACTAAGGTTATTATATGGTTTCCAGGATGTAGCTAACATCTCTCTGTGCATGACTGTTCATACCTACCTGTGCTGGCATCCTAGGGCTGCCGGAAAGAATCAAATGTGATTATCCTGTCTCTTAAGAAATGAGTCTGTACAATTTTTCTTCTTTTTCTCCCTTTTATGCACAATCAAAGGAGGCCTGTTTCTTATGTCTACTTTGAACTCGCACAGAACTCAAGTCAACCTTTTGGTGCGCTGATTCATTGTTGTTGCTTTTCTGTTGTTCCTTTCCACTAGCAGAGGTTTGTAGGTTTGTGTGGTAATGCTGAAATATAATTGCTGCTCAGCGTGTGTCAGGACGTGATGTACAGGCTGAATTTCTTGTTTGAATTTCTGATTAAACACTTGCAGGGATGGTGCAATTCTAAAACTTGTTTGTAAGTAAGCAGTAGGTGATATTTTAGTCATTGCAGAAAGGTGATTTTTATTTGCTCCTTCAAATGCAAGTAATAAAATAGAAACTGAAATTCAGTTTCTAAAGTAAGGGAATTGATCAAGTGTAAGATTGTAGGTGCTAGCATAACTGGAAACAAGGTAACCTTTATGATTCATATTTTACAAATTAATTCTTGGTACATAAAAAGAAAAATAGGTGATCATTTAAAGAAATAGAATATGCAGGATATAACAAATGGCATGAGAATTGCACTCGTTTATTCTGTTGAAATGAAAAGAACCTTCTCAGATCTTTACAGTTTGTACACCTAAAGCCTGAGCCTTGATATCTCACGCATGTGATTAAGTTGCCAAGCTGGTCATTGTTTTCAAGCAACAGGAGCTGCACACTTCAGACTGATCAGACTGAAGATCAGACTGCTCTCAAATCGACACTGACCGAAATGATGGAAGATCTTCCCCTCATTTTAGTAGCTTTTCATGGGTTTGTAAAATGGAGAACAAGCAAATTTTACTACCATCAATGTGCTAGGGTGTATGGGGTTGTTTGAAAGAGGGCAGTTCTTCATAAATACAAATACAGGATGTTTCCCTTCAAGAAAACCCATGGAATACAGCATATGTGAACCACAACTTTAAAAGTGGAAAGAGAGAGGAGCTGTGAAAAAGCCAGTAATGGTGGGAAGGGGAAATGTGCTGGCCTCAATGTCTTGTCTTGTGAGAATGCAAACCAAAGCCAGTCACATGGATGTGCATGTTGGGGAAAAATGACAATGAAATCAGAAACAGCTGTCTCCATAATTGCTTGTGTTATATGGAGGAAATTGAAATGCATCTATATTTTAAGATGAGAAGAGTTGTTTTCAGAACTCAACTCTGAAGTTGTTAGGTGATTTGCAGGATTGTTTTGAAAACTGAATGGGAACAAGGGCATCTCAGTGTCTGCAACCTTATCAGCTATCTCCTCTGTAAGCTCCTCAATTAGTGAGCTACTGCAGAGAAGTGAGAACAGGACCATCCGTGGAATGGCTTTCCTGATACAGAGCAGCATTTTGTTGGTCTCGGTAAGTAGAAGAATTGTCATGTAATACCACCAGCCTGATATGTCTGCAGATCAGAAAAAACACTCTCCTCATGTTCTGAAGCTGGTTCAGGTGATTGAAAAAACTTATGAAATTTTTAGTCTGATAACATTGCTATTGAGTTTGAACAATAGAAAACTACAGGGCTGAGAGGGGCAGAAGACAGAAAACAAGCTGAGTTGTACAGTGAGCAGAAGGAGGGAAGAGGGACAGAAATCAGAGGTTGAGCAAGAAGATATGGGCCTTACTGTGTGAGGTAACCAGAAACACCGGGTGCAGACCAAAACTAACAAATCTTGTAACAGAAATCAAAGCCTCTGAAGACCAGAGGCTGCATTTCAAAGGTTGTTTTTAGTTGAATCCAAGTAGACTTTAATAGCCATGCACTGTATAATGTTTCTTTCCTCACCATTTCTTCTATCTTATGTGGTTGGAAGTGGATGAATTTCCGGGCTTTCACCTTAAAGGTAACCCCCAACTACAGGATGGGTGAAGACCAGCTCTGCCTGAAATCCTGAATTTCAGTGCCATGGCATGCTACACTTCCAGCACGTATACACAGCGAGTTTGACTCCTGCTGAGAAATTTTCACCCTGCTGCTTCCACAGAGCATCTGCTATGGAGACCAGGGTAGTCTGAGTTTCACAGGGATGACAAAAGGCACTTGAGACAAACATAGGCCTCCTGCCTAATTTTGACCTAGAGCAATGGGGCACAAGAGTTTTTCAAAGAGTAGCAGCACAAAAAAAGTGGTGGTGAGTGGGAGAGTTTCAGCCCAAACAAATCAGCTGTTTTCAGTACACGGAAAATAAGTTTATACTTTTGGGCTGAAGCGTTCCTCCAAGAAGGCATTGCCTCACTGAAGGTTTACCCCAGCTCTACAAGATGTCTAGGCTGTCTGGGAGGTGCCTAGAGGCTGAGCTTCCCTTCCCAGAAGGGCTAAACACCTCACAGAGCTGGGCTTTCACGTGGAGCCCAAGCTGTGGTATGAGCCTTAATATTTGGAAAAGCTAGGAATGGGAAGAAGACTGGAAGGAGATGAGCTGACTGAGTGGCTGTAGCCATAAGGACTGATTGCTGGTTGTATATAGCTAAACCAGCTCCGTGGCTGACTTTCCTGCGTGTGTTGTATTTCAGTATTGTGTGTGATCCAAGTAGCATACGTAATCTCTCCATGGTGACTGCACGGCATTTGTTTCTATTTAAGGAGAGAAAGAGGTTTGGGTTTCCTGCCAGAATTCCCACTCAGGTAATTACGCTTCTGCCTGCAGAATTTCCCTCTAGCTTCAATTGTAGTAGTCGTTCTTCACTCTCACTCCTAAAAAGCACCAGCACAGACCTGCTGATGCATTTCAGGAGTGTGGCACTGGTTGCTGTGCTGACACAATGCATGACCCTGCCATGCATTGCTTCTACTTGATTTGTTCCTAGTCAAGATTGCTGCACATAGACACTCTGCTCTGCAGTTCTCCTCTTTCTATGCCTGACTTCAGCATAACAAGTTGGTCTTGCTGGTGATACTGCTAGATGATAGTGAGACAGCCAGCTGGAAGCCAATGAAAAGATGATTAAGAGCCAAGAAAAAAACATATGGAGAGAGCGGGATTTCTTTTCACAGAGTTTTAAGTAAAAGTGTTTGTCTTTGGATCCCACTAGCAGTTTTTTTCCCTTCTTTCCATCAATTTTATGGGTGGCAAGTAGTTACAGTTGATTAAGAAATTCTACCAGATCTCTTTAGCTAGAACAAATGTTGTATACAGGAGAGAACTCTGTCAATATTAAAAATCAGCTGGCCAGCCTTTTGATGAAAATAAATATTTAATGGCCAATAGGCTGATGTTGACTACAATGCTACGCGTGTTACCAACATTCTATAAATAACAGTTTTGCAAAATATGATCTATTGCATGAAAGATCTTTTGTCTCAAATTCAGATGATGTGGTGATTTTTCTGAACTTAGGACAGCAGAGCAAATAGAGTGCAGCACAGTCTGGAAAGCAGTTCTGCAGATTCTTCACTCTCTTTGAAGTCAAAGAAAATACAGGCCTTGTTCGCTCAGTCCTAGGCAGAGATTTAACGTGGATGATGTCCAACATTAATAAAACATTAATAGGCTAATACTCAGCAAATATAGCATAGTAAACAAAACCAAGGCAATTGAAACAAATTATCGATTCATGGAATTTAGTCTTTCTCTTGACAGAATGTTCGCATGCAGATTGTGCTGCTATTGAATACATTTCTTATTCAGATTTACTAAATGAATGTTATGGT